GGATAACAAAATCTCTAACGTTGCGAAACCAAAAAGACTCGATATGAATCCGAAATACTTTGTGACGAAGTCCGAAATAAATAATTAACAGAAAAAAAAAACACACTGTGTAGGACTCGTCACTTGCCATTGGATGGTTCTTGTAGCAGCCTGCGTTCCTGCTGAATCCTGTAGCATAACTGGCAACCTCGAGTCATGGGGGAAGGCGGGGATACACCCTAATTTGAAAGTGATTGCAGTACCAGTTTTGGCCACAATCTTGCATACAGCTCCTTTAAGACAAACCGTTGGCAAATTCATAAGTCAAGTCACCTTTATTTATACAGCGCTTTTTACTATATAGATTGTAGCAGCTTTACAGAGATAACAGGAATATAATGCAAATAGTCGACACCATTGCTGAGTATTTTCTCCTTAAAACTGCAGTGAACCAAAGACCGTTTGAAATCGCTGGTGTTTCTGACGTCACAAAAACCTTGTAACCAATCAGGGGTGCGTTTCCCGAAAGCATCGTTAGCCAACTATGGTCACAAGTTGGTCGCAATTTCCATTGAACTCTATTGGAAAACGACGGAACTTGCGACCATAGTTGGCTAACGATGCTTTCGGGAAACGCACCCCAGGTCAGCATGTGATCGTCAATGAGTGAGTGGAGGCGGGGCTCATTTACATATTCATAGAACCACGTATACTAAATGAAGCAAGAGCAAAGAGTTTCATTCAAGCTATTTTATGGCATAAATAATTTTTTTTCAAGGAACAAAATGCTTAAATAAGGAAATTTGATGATCAAAGATCACTTTTAAGGGTTCAGGACTTTAAAAGAAAGAAAGATAAGAAATTTGACGTGTCCTGCCCCAACTTTCCGTTTCAACAGGAAATACATCAACACAAAAAAAGATAACAGTAAAATGTTGCTGAAGGCATTTCATGTGTCTAAAAACAGGTTTGTTATTTTTAGAAAAATGTATTTCTTTTCTTTTTTACTCGTGAATTTGTAACTTGAGCAAGTGGACATGTTCTTGAAAGGTATTATTTGTCTAACGAACAAAAAAGAACAGGTAATAAATGACAGTAGTGTCCAAAAACTGATTTTATGATGTAGGCTGGTATAGAATGGCTTGACATAGAGGATGAGTGACGTTTGGCTTTGGCCTAAATCCCTCCTATCCGGAGGGAGGGTGTAGTATAAGGATCAGAGACACCGCAGGTCTGTGATACAAGCACACAGAAGCAGGAGATTGCAGCTCAGCACAAATGTCAATGGCAGCGATGGGGTGGTGGCCATAAGCCTATTAGAGAGTTAATAAATCAGGCCCATAGCTGTGCCAGGAGCCGCTGTTGAGCCCGGCTTTATGAGCACTGAGCAGATTATGGCTATTGAGTTTCCAGTTTGGCTGCATCCATATCGATGGAGTGAATGACAAAAACATTGACCAGAAACTCAATTTAATTTTGGCTCCTTTCAAAGCAAGGTTTGTTTATCTGACCGCCACCTGTGAAATGACAATGTTTAAAGCCAGTTCAGTTCAAACTCATTTGAAAAAGAAAATTGTACTAAAGGAATATTTCGGGATATATACAATGTCCATTGGTACTTCCAATATATATTATATATTAAAACAAATCCTATCCCTAACTTCCAAACATTAGTGTGTGTGTGTGTGTGTGTGTGTTCATGTTTATATTACATTGTGTGGACCAAATGTCCCCACAAGTATAGTAAAACCTGAAATCACCTACATTGTGGGGACCAGCCAGCGGACCCCATGAGGAAAACAGTGTATTAATATTTTTTTTGAAAATGTAAAAATGCAAAGAGAGACAGAGAGAGAGAGAGAGAGAGAGAGAGAGAGAGAGAGAGAGAGAGAGAGAGAGAGAGAGATGATGTCCTTTAGCTACCTACTGATGTAAATAAATAAAAATGTATACAAAGATGTGATGATGTCCGACCAAAAACGTGATGGGTGGGGGGGGGTTAAATAGTGGTTTAATTGGTCAAGTCAAGTCAAGTCACATTTGTTTATATAGCGCTTTTCACAATACAGATTGTATCAAATCAACACAGTCTCATCCCAAAAAGTCATATAACTGACGTCTTGGGGCGTATTTTGACCATACGTCAATATCCGCCTTTTTAGGGCCCCCTTAAACGTCGCTAGATGGCGATCCCGGGCCGTCATACAACTGACGCTTTACCTTTAACGTCAGTTAGGTGACGGGTTAGGTTTAGGGTTAGGTTTAGGTATGGGGTAGAGTTAGGATCCCATAACCTCATCTACCGACGTTTAAGGGGGCCCTAAAAAGGCGAATATTGACGTATGGTCAAAAGACGTCCCAAAACGTCAGTTATATGACGTCTTGGGATGAGACCGGGTTGATCAAAGCAGCTTCACAGTGATAACATGAAAGTAGTACAACACAGATCAATAATAATGTTAAATATTAAATATTAAATAACCCCAACTAAGCAAGCCAAAAGCAAGCCACAAGCAAGGCGACAGTGGCAAGGAACCCAAACTCCATCAGATTGGATGGAGAAAAAACCTTGGGAGAACCCAGGCTCAGTCAGGGGCCAGTTCTCCTCTGGCTAACATTCATATTGTTTATGTATAAATATTAAATATAAATATTGTTTATATATAAAACGGCGCCATAACATATCGCCAGCGTTGAGTCGTCTCTTCACAGGCGTTGGTCTTCTCATCACAGGCGGTGGGCCATCCGAAATCCCTGTGAGAGGCTGGACACAAAACTAGACCTGACGAACGCCATTTTTAACAGCAGAAAGGCAGATGGGAAATAATTGGCATAGCTGATGTTCATAATGAATGAGATGTAATACGTTGTTAGTGTCATGAATTTTCACTTGAATAAATACATAGATCAGCCTGGGGTGCCTTTCCCGAAAGCATTGGGAATGCTTTCGGGAAAAAAGCATTTTTTTCAACTATGGTCGCAAGTTGGTCGCAATTTCCATTGAAATCTATTGGTATATAACAACGGAACTTGTGACCATATTTCCATTGAACTCTATTGGTATATAACAATGGAACTTGTGACCATATTTCCATTGAACTCTATTGGTATATAACAACGGAACTTGTGACCATATTTCCATTGAACTCTATTGGTAACAACAGAACTTGCAAAACATATTTCCATTGAACTCTATTGGTATATAACAACGGAACTTGCGACCATATTTCCATTGAACTCTATTGGTATATAACAACGGAACTTGTGACCATATTTCCATTGAACTCTATTGGTATATAACAATGGAACTTGTGACCATATTTCCATTGAACTCTATTGGTATATAACAACGGAACTTGTGACCATATTTCCATTGAACTCTATTGGTAACAACAGAACTTGCGACCATATTTCCATTGAACTCTATTGGTATATAACAACGGAACTTGCGACCATATTTCCATTGAACTCTATTGGTATATAACAACGGAACTTGTGACCATATTTCCATTGAACTCTATTGGTAACAACAGAACTTGCAACGCGTTCTCATCCTTTAACGTCATATAGAACGCTATATGACAAAACGGCGCTATACTACGCGCATGGAACACGTTATCGTTAATATAACACGCGCTGTGAGGGCTAAGTTTAGGTGTGGGGTAGGGTGTGCGTGTCACATTCACGCTAAAGGATTTATAACGTCTTGGGTTCGCGTGTTATATTAACGATAAAGGGTGCCATATGCGTAGTATAGCGCCGTTTTTGCATATAGCGTTCTATATGACTTTAAAGGATGAGAACGGGCTGGAACTTGCGACCATATTTCCATTGAACTCTATTGGTATATAACAACGGAACTTGCGACCATATTTCCATTGAACTCTATTGGTAACAACGGAACTTGCGACCATAGTTGGCTAACGATGCTTTCGGGAAACGCACCCTTGATGTATGTACTGTAATGGTCCAGTGTGGCAGAATGTTTGCGAAGCGTGTCGGAGGTTCTGGGTAATTTTACCGATAATTTTTAGCAGTGGTTGTATATCAAGCAGGGACACGTTTGTATTTTGTTTTGCGGTTTCACCGAAATGAATAGAGAATCCCTGCAGAGGATTGATGCGCGCGTCTGAGTTAAGACATTGCGGCGCGTGCACTAGCCACAACAAAACAATGTATCTGCTCCACTGATCGCAAAGGCAACGAGCATATGATCACTTGATTAAAAAACAACACATGTTAGCGCTAGATAACCTCGTATTTAACAAACGAACGAAACGAATGCTCTAATAGTTAACTGGAGATGTTTTACTTATATTGGTACATCCGAGATGTTTCAAAAGTGGTGGGGACAAAATCGACCCTGGGAAATAATAGTGGGGACATGACCTCCCCGTCCCCCGTCCCCCTGGTAAATGACGCCTATATGTTCAACGGGGTCCAACGGGTTGAAGGTCCTAATTGGAGTTTCAGTGCAGCATAAAGGCTCATAAGCCCAGCCGAGGAATAAGAGTCTTATCTAGCCAAACCATCGACCATTTTCTAAAATAAATAAAAATATATATCGTTTTTTTTTAAACACAAATGCTCGTCCTGGACGTCAACAACTTTACGAATTACTTAATCACGTTGTAAAGGTCAGACGGTAACCTGATGTAGGCGGAAAATGTAGGATAGGATCTAATTTTCTCCTTCAACTTCAAAATAATCTGGCATCAATGTTTGACCTTTTATATATATATATATATATATATATATGGTAAATGGCCTTTGCATGTTCGTTTTGTATAAAGTACTTTGCTGTTTTTTTTAGAAAATGACCAATGGTTTGGCTAGATAAGACCCTTATTCATCGACTGGGATTGTGTAGAACCTTTGAAGCTTAATTAAAACTGTAATTTGGACCTTTAAACCGTTGAAATCCTGGAATTTCCTCAAAAACCTTAATTTACATGTATTCTGAAGCAATAATCAACTTAATGGAATACAAAACCATTTGTTCAAATGTTACATGGTTCGGAACAACAAAACAGCGCATTCTCATTTAGATCCAGACTCAAGCAGATGTACAACCTTTGAAAAGAACATTAGCATTTTTCTCGGGCTTTTATCAGCTGTACCTACAGCAGAAGCTCATCTGGTTGCGAACGCTCTCTGATTATTAGTGACAGCTGTGATGTGACAGCCTGTGCTGGATCAGACCTGTCTCATATGAGTGTGCATGGCAGCTCCGTCACCCCTGCTGTCCCCTGTCTTCTCCTTCCCGCTGGCCTGTCACTCTCCTCACCACCGTACGCCCCTGACTGATACCAGATCAGCTGCGGGAGGAGAAAACACTAGTGTGAGATTTGCACCTGCTAGTAGTGCAGCCTACCATTTTTACAGGACAAAAATGATGTGAGGGTCTTATTTTTATGTTAATAATTAATATCTAGAGCAGAAATAATTATTAAAAAAATGTCCCACCAATTTCATTTTGTCTGGTAGGCCAGGGGGTCGCTGGAGCCCCCCAACACTGCACATTTTAATCTCTCCTTTGTCTGACAAACCCATTTTAGATATTGGGGGCTGTTTACACAACACCATTTTCAACTAAAAAACATAAAAGTTTGTATGCGTTTTGGCCGTTTCGTTTACATGGCAACGGCGTTTCGGGTGCCTGAAAATGCAAACTTTTGAAAGCGGTCTCAGTGTAAACAACAAAAACGAGAATCTCTGAAGACGATGACATCATGCAAATGTGTATTACGTATTTAGTCTATAGTGTTTCATCGCCATCTAATGGCCTGGCAGCAGAATACTGGGTTTTTAGTTGTTTTCCGTGTGTATGGGGATCATTTTGACAGTGGTGTTGTCTGTACGCGGAAAACGTCTCAGTTATGTATGTAACCCTAGTTTGCTGAAAAGGGAACGAGACGCTGCGTCGAAACGCTGTGGGAACGCCTCTGCATTATTGCGTCATGATCACACAACGCATTCTCATCCTAGGACGTCATATAGGTGACGCTTTTGACATTGCGCCTAAATCCGACGCACATGGCACTCTTTAACGTCAATATAACACGCTACGATAATGGGTAGGTTTAGGGTTAGACCACTAGGAGGCGCCTTCTGGCCCTCTTTCATATTGACGCTAAAGGGTGCCATGTGCTTCGGATGTAGACGCAATGTCCAAAGCATCACCTATATGACGCCTTGGGGATGAGACCGGGCTGTGAAGCACGTATGAAACCAGTCCGATGGCGTGACGGAACTTCATGTGACGTCATCGGACTGGCATACCGGGAGTATGGCAGGGTGATGCAGCATCTCATTCCCCTCTTATTCCTCTTATCGGTTTATTTCTAGGCTACGTTCACACTGCAAGCCTTAGTGCCCAGTTCGTTATTGCTCAGATCCGATTTTTGTTGTATAGCTGTTTACTTTGTACATTGTTGTTTTAAATGTGGCCAATATCAGATTCCAGTGTCAACAAAAGATAAAAAACAGTATGTTAATTTTCACACTCTAAATATGACAGATGCAAAGATGACAGACGATTTTCTCACAATTGTCTTGGGTCAAAACATGAGAGCAGTTGCGTTTTTGACCAAACATATAATGTGACTCGATGAATGGTGAGGTATTTTTGCTAAATAAATTGAATAGCATGAGAATTTTGCAACGTCTGTTCCGTCTGTATTATCTCAATGAGCTTTTATGAGGTTTTACGCATGTGCAGTAAGGTTAATTTGGTGTTTTACACAACTATGTCTTCATGATAGAATTAATAAAACAGCATTTTCTCAGCATCAATGCATTACATAGAAATCCACCAGATGTTCAATAGGCAGTTCAATGTACCAAATCATGTACCATTCAATGTTCTGAAAATATCAAAACACTTATGCAAGATGGAAACCTACAAACATAAAAGTCTTTGTCGCTGCTATGGGTGGAGATCCTTGTGAGGTTGGGTAATAATGACTCTTGTGACCTCATGGTCGGCTTTCTGTCCAGGAACTTTGGTGTCCAGAGTGGCAGCTCTGTGTCATACATGTTGGGGTCAATAGAAATCTTAGTCCGGGATACCAACTTGTCTGGTTGGCCAGGGTCGGATACCAACTAGACCATCTGAAACCAGATAAGACCATATTTGGCTAGTTTAAGATTTAAGATTTAGACATTTCTCTGTAACATTGACGCACATTAACCCATTTCAATCAAAAGTTGAAATTCTGGCTTCACGTCCATGTTGTACTACTTTGCACGTGACGTCACAAGAACGCCGTTCTCTAGCAACGAAACCCAGTAAACTAGTCAAGGATCTTGCCAGGACGTCGCCAGTTTTTATGCAAAAGTTGGTGTTTCGGAGTGTATTAACCTGGGGTGCGTTTCCCGAAAGCATCGTTAGCCAACTATGGTCGCAAGTTGGTCGCAATTTCCATTGAACTCTATTGGAAAACGACGGAACTTGCGACCATAGTTGGCTAACGATGCTTTCGGGAAACGCACCCCTTGACACTAACCAAAAAACCAAATTGAACCAAATTGAACCGTAACAAATATTCTTTTATACCCAACTCCGTCAAAATTTTAAATCAAAATTTTTAGATTGTACGAGGAGGAATGAGAAGTGTGCAATAACTTGGTGTTCTGCTTGTTGTTTTAGTATTGTATGTTATTTTATTCTCATTTATTTTTTAGATTTTCATTAGATGTGTCATGAGTGTGTGTGTAGTCTACATGTACGTCTTTAGCTGGTATTTGTTTTACTATGTGTATTATTGTTTGTAATGGCAGCTACTACTTTGCACCACGCACTTTGAGTCCATGACAAATTTCCCCTAGGGGACAATAAAGTATACTCTACTCTACTCTACTACTAACCAGGTGAGATAAGCAACCTTCACAGTATAACGTCACACGTCTGTGCAGTAAACATTCCATCACTCCATCAAAGGCAATTTCAACATTTGTTTGAATTCAATGGGTGTATGATCATGTATCGTCTTTAAGTTAACCTGTAGTTTGGTCAATCAACGCCACTAGCTGGTTCGGCGAGTCAGCTGTTTGTGTCATGAGGCTTTGGCGCGAGAGTGGCAAAATTCATTGAAAAATGAATGACTTCTGGGCACTTTGACGCTATCGCTAGTGGCGGTGTAGACACAGCTGTCGTATTTCGCTAACAACAACAAAAATGTGTGATAGGTTGTTTTGAGGTTTGTGATATCTATGGTTTTCAATGAGAACAGCACAGAAATTATTACTGCTCGATTATCTAAAAAAACCTTGTCTGCTTTAGACAATTTAACTACCTTCACCTTGGAGTTAATCGTAGTGGTCCATAGTTATGTAGCTAGCTCGCTAACACACTTGATAGCTACTAGAAAGACCTGGAACGACAGGATTCTATGTTGAAAATACCCATTTGTTGCCCGCCAGGCATCCATGGTAGTCACGTAAGGGCAAAACATGAATAGACCTCATGTGCCAGAGAAACAATCTTCAGGATTGTGTGTTTGAACTTCTGTTTTTGTGGTAGCCCTGTATAGGGCCTATGTGTATGGCATCGCTGTTGAAGAGTAATCAGCTGGTGAAGTGGATTTACTTATTGTAGAGTTAATGAAAGTTATCATGAGCACTGTAATGTTTGAAGCAGATGTCATAACTAATGTCTGTAGACTGGAAGGAAGATTTTACAATGAGCGGTTCATTCATTAAGTCAAGTCAAGTCATCTTCATTTATATATGTAGGCTATAAATCATTCATAAATCCGTAAGTTCTCTCCCTCATACTGTGCAAATACAAACAGGAAGACAAACACAACGTCTCCTTCCATCCATCCATCCATCCATTTTTCCTTCCTTGCATTCATCCCAGCATCATCCATCCATATCGATCTCTCCCTTTCTTCTTCAATCTATCCCCCCATCTATTCTTCCTTCATTCTATCATCCCTCCCTTTCTCATTCCATCCATCCATCAGTCCTTCCTTGCATCCATCCATTCATCTTTAATTTGTATTCATCCCTACCTTTCTAATTCCATCCATCCATGCATCCATCCTTCCTTTCTTGCATCCATCCATCCATTTTTAATTTGTATTCATCCCTCCCTCCCTCCATCCATCCATCCATCCATCCATCAATTCGTGTCTCCATTCATTCATGCTTAATTTTTATCCACCCCTCCATTTCTTATTCCAACATCCATCCTTTCTCCATCCATCCATCCATGTCTCCATCCGATCATACTTAATTTTTATCTATCCCCCATTTCTTATTCCAACATCCATCCTTTCTCCATCCATCCATCAATTCATGTCTCAATTCATGTCTCCATCCATTCATGCTTACTTTTTATCTATCACTCCATTTCTTATTCCAACATCCATCCATCCATCCATCCATTCATCCATCCATTTATTCATGTCTCCATCCATTCATGCTTAATTTTTATCTATCCCTATACATTTCTTATTCCAACATCCATCCATCCATCCATCAATTCAAGTCTCCATCATTCATGCTTAATTTTTATCTATCCTACATTTCTTATTCCAACATCCATCCATCAATTCATGTCTCCATCCATTCATGCTTAATTTTTATCCATCCCTTCATTTCTTATTCCAACATCCATCCTTTCTCCATCCATCCATCCATCCATCCATCCATCCATCCATCCATCCATCCATCCATCCATCCATCCATGTCTCCATCCATTCATACTTAATTTTTATCCATCCCCAATTTCTTATTCCAACATCCATCCTTTCTCCATCCATCCATCAATTCATGTCTCCATCCATTCATGCTTAATTTTTATCCATCCCTCCATTTCTTATTCCAACATCCATCCCTTCTCCATCCATACATCCATCCATCCATCCATCCATGTCTCCATCCATTCATACTTAATTTTTATCTATCCCCAATTTCTTATTCCAACATCCATCCTTTCTCTATCCATCCATCAATTCATGTCTCAATTCATGTCTCCATCTATTCATGCTTAATTTTTATCTATCCCTACATTTCTTATTCCAACATCCATCCATATATCCATCCATACATCCATCCATCCATCCATCCATCAATTCAAGTCTCCATCATTCATGCTTAATTTTTATCTATCCCTACATTTCTTGTTTCAACATCCATCAATTCATGTCTCTATCCATTCATGCTTAATTTTTATCCATCCCTCCATTTCTTATTCCAACATCCATCCTTTCTCCATCCATCCATCCATCCATCCATCCATCCATCCATCCATCCATCCATCCATCCATCCATCCAATCATACTTAATTTTTATCTATCCCCAATTTCTTATTCCAACATCCATCCTTTCTCTATCCATCCATCAATTCATGTCTCAATTCATGTCTCCATCCATTCATGCTTAATTTTTATCTATCCCTACATTTCTTATTCCAACATCCATCCATATATCCATCCATCCATCCATCCATCAATTCAAGTCTCCATCATTCATGCTTAATTTTTATCTATCCCTACATTTCTTGTTCCAACATCCATCAATTCATGTCTCCATTCATGCTTAATTTTTATCCATCCCTCCATTTCTTATTCCAACATCCATCCTTTCTCCATCCATCCATCCATCCATCCACTTTTTATCCATCCATCCCTTTCATTCATCAGTCAATATTGTAATTTCACATCTGTCCTCCTGTATTTCTTGTACACAGCCTAATTGTTTCTTTGCAGAACTTGACAACTCCCAACTGATAACTTGTGAATCCCCATAATTCAAGCTTGTCTCGTATACTTGTCTCATCTTCTCCTGTTTGCTTTATTAATATCTAGTTAAAACAATTTTCACTGAACACTTTTGAAAAACGAACAAACAATAACCTCATTAGCATTGACTTCTCTGTGTTCCTCTGGTGTTTACATAAGCATGAGTTTGTGAGTAGCATTTGACAATTACCATAATTGGTTAAGAAATTACCAGTTGTCCCCTTTAGTTTAACGCTATTGAGTTTTTCCACGTTTTAATTGCGAAGATCAATATATTGACACATCTGCCAGACTTACTTCACTGCTCAACAGAATCGGTAAACCTGAGATTGGATTAAATGTTAGTGTGTCAATCTCCTTTGCAGTATTTGGTCAGCATATGAGGTCAAACCATTTAGGTCACTCTTTTTTAACCAAAAACATACTTTTAGTGCATACTGTTCTATATAGTTAAGTCTTTTCCCTTTTTCAGGCTTTGTTTTTCTTTTTTTTACTCAGTTATTTTACCCATACCCATTCATTGCATGAAGACAAATCACACGGCAGGCGAGTTTGTTAACATTTTGCACGAGGTTAGCCTCTTGTTTTGTCAAACGAATGCATTAACCTTGCAGGTATCATCTCAACACCTTTCTTTTTTTTTTTTTTTTTACTCCAGCTAGTGTTTGTAGTTCATCAGAGCAGAGATGAAGATGACTGATGAAACCGATCGCTTGGGTCATTATCCTCCACGTTACAGGGCAGAGAAAATTAAAATTTGATTTGTGGAGGGGCTGTGTTTTGTCGTTCTGGTGGATAACCGGACGTGAAAAATGTGCCCCAGTCTCCTGCTCTAAGAGCGAGTCTGTTTACCCCTGAACGAGGAGAATTAATTAACCTCGTTTATATTCTGGGCTCGTATTGCAAACCCATCCTGATGTCTAGGATCCATCTCAGAACTTGCTTCGTGTTTGTCCCTTTGTCTTGAGATGAGATATACACCGATTTGCTGATCAAGAAACATATCTCTTTTAATATCCTATTACCAATTTGGCTTTGCTGCGTAATATTTGTGTGGAAATTATGGTGTATTTTCAGGATAGAAGAACTTTGTAAATGTCTTTACTGTCACTTTTGGTACATTTCTATTTTATGCATTTGTAAACTACGTTGTTGTCACGTGGCCTCCTTAAATGCTTAATGCAAACAGTCACATCCAGTTAAAATGGTTATTTTGCATTCCAATTCAATAATGCAACTGTAAGGTTATTGTACTTAAAATGATTGGGAATGGAAAGTCAATTTAAGCACATTGTATAATGGGATGCAATTTCTAGCACAATAGGCTTGCTTTAGTTGTACATTTTAGCAAATGTTGTAGGTCATCGGGTCTTGTTTGCATACAGAAAATATGGATTCACAGTATTCACTTCTGAAATAGTATAGTATCGGTAGGCGTTTTTGAACATAGCCAGTCATTGTAGCTGTCAAATGAGATTTATAGTAATTAACACAATATATAAAGGCCTTTATTACTGTGACTTCTCTTCATCAGTATTGACTTTAAGCCACTCCTAATCGGGTTTTGTGATGCTTCAGCGCAATTTTCAATTAGCGCTGAACATTGACATGTGACACATCACTGAAGAAGGAGATTAATATGAAGAGAAATGAACTGAGAGCTGAAAAGAAGAGAAGAGTGGTCTGTTTCTCTGCAATGGCATCTTGTCCGACTTGAGCTTGTGAAAGAAAAGATGGTGCATGTCTTAAGCCAAAGAACATGACAGACTGCATAGCGCATACACACACACACACACCAAGTGAACATCTGTGTTGCTTTGTAAAAGATCTTAAAGATCTGTGAAGTTACTGGCTGTCAGGAGAATCTTATACGGATGGTCACTTTTCACCGCAGGATTACAATTTAAAAAACATACAAAATTATATTTTGCATCAGGAAAATTAAGCAAATTTTAGAATCATTATGATTTCTTGAATTGAAGTATTATTTTCAGGGCATGTACTATATGCACATTTTTACCACAAATACTTATTGTGGTGTATCGAGACGTTTTACTTTTGAGCTTTTATTGTAATTCTTATTATTCTCAATAGTGATTCACATATTTAATACTATAGTATTTTTTTATTAATATGAATCAACGTTAGTACAACAAATATAGCATAATACATACGTTTCTATTTAAATAACTATTATATCGTACATCATTATGCTGATGGGGTTTTTTCTTACATAATTGAGAGTAAATTTAACTTTCTTTCGTTCTTTCTTTTTAGAAACAATGACTATAAATTTATTAAATTAATATAAATAGTAAATGTGTATTACATAGTTCAGTCATGACTCACTCTTTTACATGCTATCTACAAGCAATCACATCATTACCAGATGACACCCCTAAATGCATTGAAGCAACTGTCATGTGTAGGGTTGAGTATCGAGAATCGAGTATCGATTGGAACCGGGACTAAAAACTTTAGTTTTTCCCGGAATCGTTCAAAAGTTAAAATTTCGATTCCTAGTTTCGATATTCACAGTCCGCCGAGCGGAAGAAGAAACCGCTGAACAACACCAACGAAGAAGCATCTACCGGAAGTGTTGGCATAACCGCGCGAGTCAAACATGAGTAGCTTACGTCGGCGGTCCAAAGTGTGGCTTCACTTTTCTAAAAATAACGAAATCTCGGCAAAATTCGTGACAGAAGGAGTATTTCCTTCAGAAAGGATTATTTCCTTCAGAAAGACCGTTGGTTAGCAAGGTTAGCTAAACTTTTTTGACCCTGCCTCTTAAAAGAATCGGAATCGAGAATCGTTAGGAACCGGAATCGAGACAAGGAATCGGAATCAGAATCAGAATCGTTCAAATTCAAACGATACCCAACCCTAGCCATGTGGTTGGTTGATTAGATAATTGCATTAATTCGAAATTGAACAGGCTTTCCTAACAATCCTTTAGGTATATTTATATATATATATATATATATATATATATATATATATATATATATATTCACACACACACACACACATATACATTAGGTAACATGAGTGGATCAAAAAAACGTTAATTAAAGTTGTCCAAGGAAAAGAACTGGTATCGTTCAAAATTCATGTACAACTTTGATGAAAGGTTTTGTTCCTCTTCAAATGTTGACACTACTGTATATATTAGAACATACCATGATATTAAAATGTCATAATCTTTGAAAATGAAATGTTGCCATTGACATCTCTCTCTGTTTCCCTCTAGCAGGAAGATGAGCGCAACGCTGGCACCGTTCATGACAAAGATCAAGCTGAAATCCGCAAGTTGCTCACGCAGAAGTACAAGAAGTTGCCATGGAAACCAGAGGTATGAGCATCATGCTTTGCTTTTGTTTTTTTTTTTGTCATTTTACGAGTGACAATGACTCATTATCGCTCTCTTTTGTTTGCCAGCTGTGCAAGTTACAATGAGAACTTCTCAAACCTTCACTGAAGCTCTTAATAAGCACATGTTGGCTTGGTCCATTTTCTGTAACGTGCAATTTTGTGCAATGAACAAACTGGCATTACTGTCAGATTTTTAATATCATCTGCAATATCCGCCAAGATTTAGCTCACATTTTCAGGGCTTAAGTTAGAGTGCTTATTATTATTCAACGGTGGTTGTTCTTGTAATTTTACTTAATTACTGAAGTGAAACGCCGCTCAACCTACTGGATAAAAGAAAATGCAAATTTAGAAAATCATAATCTCTTTCTACTTTTTTTTTTTTTTTTTTTGCCTCAGTATCCTGGACCAAACAGTTGGGAGGATGATGTATTAAATTGGACGGTTTATCCGACTCCATTAAAGTGACATTATTGTCATAATTATTCCCGTTCGATAAAGTAGAAAGGGTTCCTCCTAAGCTGCTTATTGGAGAGCGCACAGGATTTAACTGAGTGCTCTGAACTGTGGGCATTTCAAACCATGAGGCTGCGAAACCAAACCACCACATGCAACATAATGAGTCAGAGCCGCTATATTAATCACTATGAATGAGGGCAGGTGAATTAGATGTAGCATTTTAAAATAATAGCTTAGAGGTGGGGAAATGCTGTGGGCGAATGGCAGCGGTTTGTTTTCATGGGCATTATGGATGTGATGGCATCTGTTCTCTAACTCTCTAGCCGGGTTACTATATACAGCTATTGGCACAGGGAGCACCAAAGTAAGATATAAGGACTTACCAATTGTACTGTTGCTGAAGTGTACAGTACTATCGAGCTTTGCAGCTGATTGTCCGTGAAAGTGAACGTTCGGAGATGACGTGCCAATTTGAGGATCCAAGCCTGACAAGGTATCCCTGATATGCTTTACCGAGTCTGCGGAGGAATTCGACTGATCTTCACAAGGGCCAGTCGTGGTACCCACTGAACAAACTCTTTTTCCAACACTGACTTGTGTCGGGACTCATCTGGAAAGAAAACATCATATGAATAAACATGGATGCAGACTGCAGTTATCAGAATTTACCGTATTCATTTTCGGTTCATATTTTCAGTCTATTTTCTCAGGGTTGAACCAATATTAAAATGTTTTTTTTAATTTTTTTTATGTTATTGGCAATATTCAAATGATGTGCCATAAAATTAAAAAATAATAACACAGACCAGGAATATATAAAAGGTTTATTAAAGCATCACAACATGCATGTATGCACAGTACGAACAAATTATACATTTTGAATTGTGCTAAAAATTACATTTAAAAATGTTAAAAGATTAACTTAAGTGAGCGTTAGATGACTTTCTACTGTTTCATTGTTTTTATTGTTATTTTAGGGTTTTTTATATAATTGGTAGTTTTTCTTAATATTTTTATTTTTATATGTTCAGTTTTCATTTAAAATAGTATTTTTTTTTTTTGTAATTTTTGTTGTGCTTTTTCTTTATTTTTTATATTTCTACCCAGTTTTATTTTTATTTCGGTTTTAGTTTAGCCATTTTAGTACCAGAGACAGTATATTATATATCTGAGAAAGAGTTCAAGGATAAAGTGTCTTGTGTGTGCGCAAATATACAGAGTATACCAGTAGTATACTACTGCCAAAGCAACATTTCTGATTTTTCATGTGGTATTTATGTTTTGTTTTTGTTTTGTTTTTTTATATCATTTATATTTGTATTGTTGTTTTTCCCACAGTATGAATTTTACAGGTCAACCGGGCATACATATACAATGTTCAAAGACAATCATAACTGATTTTCCTTGAAAGCCCTTAGTGATAAGACTTTTTTTTAAACATAAACCAATGAAAAACACAAACAACAAGAAATAGAGAAAAAAAAAAAAAAACTGTAGCTTAGAACCGGGGTATGGTATGTGGTATTTATGTTTTATTTCGTTTCAGCTTTATTTCAATCACCCTTTTCTTTGAATTTCCACATTGGCCATAAAAAAAATATTAATAATATGCATCCTTATGATAATAGACTTTTCTTAAATGATTTCGTAACTGAGTCCTTACTACTAATAAAAAAAGACACATACAATTAAACATACGCTAAATATATATGCAATATGGAACATTACCGACAACATGTATCATTTATATATATATCATTTTTTTTTATCTACATGTACTAGTAGTGTTCTTTATACGTTTGCAGCTTTTGCTCTTCTCCTATGTTAGGCACTGAATGTTGTGTTAAGCATAAGCCCCAGTTGCTTCTGGGAGAATGGATGGCCGGTCCCTGACAGGTCTCACAGGCCGTGTTATTTATAGGAGTGAACACAAGTGATAGCCAGCCGAATAACAGCCCCTGGGTCCAGGCAGATGTTCACAGTTTAGCAAAGCAAACAGAGGCTTATATCACTTAAAATTAGAGCAATTAATTCCCAAAACTTGTGACAAGATTCGTGGCTTGTGGGTTTGTGAGATCATCGCCAAAGTCGGCTGTTCTGACTGGCCATTCACTCATCCAATGAGAGACGACGATGAAAAAAGATGGCCGGACCTTGAACCCTTCATGAAGATGCAGGTGCGAGGCTGAGGAACGGATTGACGGTAATGGGCACCGAGGACTACAGGCAATAGACGGTGTGTTGAATTTATGGAGCTTTATAGATTAGCTGCAACGGCAGTGGGCTTCATATAGAAGACTTTGACCTCTGGCCTTCACTGCTCGGATTCATTTCCACATTTCTGCCTTTGTGCTAAGAGCATCATTGCTTTTTTTCCTCCTCTGAGGATGATATTTGTTTCCTTCTTTGAGGAACTCTCTTTAGTCTCCCAGTTGCCACAAAATGACAGTGCCGACAGCAGTTTTCCGAAGCCATTATGTGTCATTAGAGATTTGAGAAAATTGTGAGCATCAGCAACTTCCCGTCGAGTTATTACAGTACAGTCACGAAGACCAGAGCTGGTATATCTGTATTATATCTATGATCTCAAGCACAAACATCTTATAGCAGCAAAACTATATATTGTCTAAATTGGCTTGTCGGTGCGCTACCTAAATGGCCAGCTGAATAATTGGTCTTAAAGGGATACTTCACCTCTGGAAAGATGAATGTGTATTTAAAATGGGTCATTTATGTAGAAGAAATGTGAAATTATTTTTGAATTTGGAGCTTTCTAGACTGAGAAAAGCCAGAAAATGTATTTTTGGCTTATTTGAATGAAAGATTCAAATACAACTCCCAGAATGCACTTGCTTCGTTGCCCTAGGAGGCCACGCCTACCGGTAACAGAGCGCAGTAGTTAAACAACAAGAGTCTCCGTGATGAGTCTGCCCGAAAATGTGTTTCGAGATCGCCCAAAATGTCTGGGATTCGGCTTTTGCGTTCTACCGTCGCCATTCATCATGTTTACTGTGGCGAGCGGGACGAGTGAGGGCCGCGGGAGAACGGCGCGAGGCCGGTGGCGTGATTAATGATGAGAGACACCTGTGAGACGCATAGGTCTCGTATCTCTCACGGAGGAGCGCGAATTTTCTTAGCAATGTTAAAACGCACATCAACCGATCACACATAAACACTACATTCAGGTTCACCAATCGAATGAATTCAGTTAGATTGAAACAAAAGGTGTGCATGTAAACAATGAATGGCGACCGCAGAAAGCAAAAGCTAAATCCCGGACATTGATGGCCGGACATGACCAGGAAAAAGAGGATGGTAACCCCTACTACTCGGCTTTCTCCACAGAACAAGAGCCTGCTAGCTTAGCTTCCAAAAAAATTGAGCAAAAAGCTGAGAAAGATCGGATTCTTGTCAATGATTAAAACATAGATGGAGTTGATCAAGTCCACAAACACCCTCGAAGGCCCCGTCCACACTACTGCGTTTTCGATTAAAAACGGAGACCTTTTGCTACGTTTGCACCTCCCGTCCAGACTAAAATGGAAAAAACGAAGACCTAAAAAGTTTAGAAACGCTGCAGCTCCGTTTTGCATTTTGAATCTCCGAAGGGCATTTTAGTGAAGACGAAACAAAACGGAGTTTAGAAACGCTGACGCAGAGGCTCACGCTGGGCTCTATGATTGGGTGTCATCAGTCATGACGTGTCCTTCCCTGATGCGCATGCCCAGGGTTAGTGAATGGTCACGGGATCCACATTTTCAGTCGTTTTAATGTGGACGGAGATCAATTCTAATACGCTGGTGTGGACGGAGATCGTATTCGTTTTAATTCTCCGTTTTTAAACGTGTGGACGAGGCCTAAGGTTGCACAGTATAGCTTGTCCTGGTCGGCATTTCATTCGGTAACATTAGGCAGTTTGGATTTATATGCTGATGATCACATTATTTTACATATGCATTAAATATGCTATCACTTGTTTCTGCTTCTTTTTCGCCTGTGTTTTGCTCTTTCAGAAGCTGCGTAATAGCGCCCCCACTGTCTAACAGTGAAAACAAGTAAAACTGTAGACTAAGCTAACCGGCTAATCAACTAATGGTATGCTAATTACGTTAATCATTGCATTAATTGATTAGTTTGCAAATTCTAAGCCAAGGGTTCTCAACTCTGGCCCTCAAGATCCATTTTCCTGCTAATTTTTTTCTCCAACCAGTCAAAGAACGGATTTCTGTTTGAAATCACCCTCATTCACTATTCCCTACATTAATTTAGTCCACTTGATGAAGTGAATGAAAACGAGTGAGTGAATTCAGATACTGCATGTGCCGGAAGGGCTGCCGCTTCTGCATAGTTTGTTCTACTGTTTAATAATTATTTAAGACTTAGCAAACTGGCAGTTCCAGTTAGCCTGACTTCGTCATACTCATATTCAAGAAAGAATATGAGTCTGAAACTCCTCCATTGGGCTTTGATTATGAGGCGTGTCGTAACCGAACCAGGACAAAAAAAAAACAACCTCTGCACTCAACTGGATAGTCGGTAGACCTACCAACCAATCAGAGCAACGCATAAGTCAACTCCTTTGCATAGCGCAGTTTTCAAATACAGAATGTATAGCCTAACTTTATTTATTTTAGAAGTTAAATAACGAGTGTTACTTCTTTTACTTACTTCTCCATGAGTGCCACCAAAGGAGAAACCACAATGACCACAGGCTTTTCATTACGTCCCATCTTCTTAAAGGAGCATTTCACCCATTGCAACATTAATCTTTATTGAAAGTGGATCATAAATGTAGTCAAAATGTAAAATCATTTTTTAATTTGGTGCCCTCTTGACCGAGAAAAGACAGAAAATAACCAAGGGGCGCCTTTGTGTTAAAAAACTACAGTTCCCAGAATTCCCCAACATTGCACAGCTCTGCAAGCCACACCCACTAACCCACCCACCGGAACAGCGCAAACAGAGACGCAAACACACTCTTCCGTCTACAGCCCTAACATTAGCTGTTACCAGAGTAAGAGTTTGAAATTCATTTCAAACAAAATGTCTAGTTAGTTGGCTGTGGCGAGCAGGACGATCGAGGGCTGTAAGAGGACGGCGCGCTGCCGGTGGCGTGAGTGATAATGAAAGACAGCTGTAAGGCGCGCACCGGTGCGTCTCTCACGAATAGAAGGAGCGAATGCATAAAATGGGGAGCGACGACGGCAGATCGAGAGAGAAACAGGCCTGATTTTATGTTTTGTTTCTGTTGTGTGTAACGCTGGCTTACTTTCGTTTTGTATTTGTTCATTTTACTATTAAAATGTTTAAATGTTCGCCGGTTCATGCCTCTTTCTTCCCACAACATCAAACCCTGTTCACGTTACATTTGTAAACACATTAACGTTAGTGAATTACTCCGCGTTTGTATTTATTTCTGTATGGTGAATTACTGCATGATACCTGGATGTTCTGAAGGCGAAACTATCACAACACAAACGTCCGTGTGCTCGTCTGATTCAGAGATTTCTTCCAGGAGAAACTGCCATCGTTGAAATTCTCTGCAGCAGACGGACTCTGTGTCCGTAGGCCGTGACATGCAGCGAGAGTACAGGCAACAGCAGGCCGCCG